GTATATATGTATACGTGTGTGTGTGTGTGTGTGTGTGTGTGTGTGTGTGTGTGTGTGAATGCTTTGGAGACTTTGGAGACTGCTGGTTGCAGAAGCTGACAAATACAAAAGGTCATCATGGGAGAGCAGAGTCTCAGACGACTAGCTTTGTACCAGAGGCCACTGGTTCAAGTCTAGCCATTAGCCATATAGCCAGATGTAGATCACATGAAAAACTCTCCACTTGTTTGTCTGAATCTGAGCATAAATCCTAATTTTTGCCTTAAACATCCAAATTTATGTCCCAAACCAAACTTATGCTCTAAACGCAGCCAAGTGCCCAAGGAACTTTGTTGGTAAAGAAGTGAACACAGCCTCAGGACTGAAAGTTGACCCACTGCCGCCACAGCCTGTCCAGCCGTCTGGTGTCTGCTGTGGATTGCAAGTGCCTGCTCAGCACCGGAGGGGGAACAGCTCCTCCCCGGTTCATCAGCACCCGGAAGCAGACAGCTCCTCCCCGTCTGATCAGCACCCGGAGGTGGACAGCTCCTCCATCCCTTTGATGACTGCGTCACGGTGGGTCCAGGCTTCCGACCCTGCTCTTCCGGACACCTTGGGACGTCAGCGCAGCTCTGGGGGCCGTACCCACGTCCACCAGACCCCTTTTCAAAGAAAACCCAGTTTGCAGAGGTCTGCAGGCCGCCTGTGTGCACCGCTCGCCCTCTCCACCCCCCGCGCAGACCCTCCTTCCCCTGAACCTGGTCCCCCTCATCCCGCCAATCCGCGGCTCACCTGGCACCTCCCCCGCCCGCAGCAAAAGACGCAGCGCCGACGCTCCCCAACCAGAGCCTCGGCCCGGCCAGCGGCGGCCACCTGCGCCCCGCCAACCAGCGTCCCTGTCGCCCCCTCCGCCCTGTCCTCCTCCCCTCCCCCTGCCCTGTCCGCTCGCTGCTCGGTGTCCGGCCGCTGTCGCCCACTGTGCCACGGGCCGTGTCGCAGGGCGTGTCACGAGGTGACGGGCCGAGGCCCAGGGAGGGAGGACCGGGGGCGCGTGGCTGTCGCTGCGTGCGCCCCTCCCCGCCGCAGTCGGAGGCCTTCCCCGGAGAAGATGGCGGATCGGGCGGAGATGTTTTCTCTTTCCACCTTCCACTCGCTGTCGCCGCCGGGTTGCAGGTACGCACCTTGATGCCCCAGGCTTTGGGGCCTTCACCTGATGCTGCCCCTTCTCCGCTTGGTCCTCGGCCATCCACCTTCACCCATCCTCTGGCCCTTTGCGCACCCAACACGCCCCACCTTAGGCAGCCCTCCGCGCGTCCAGTCTTTTCCTTTTTTGTCCCCCTTCTCCAGTTCCAGCGACCAGAGACCCCAGCAACTGTCACACTTCCCCTCCCTCCCCCATGAGGACCATTGCCGCACCCAGCCTGGGTGGCCGACTCCCCTGGGCTGAGGCCCTGGCCTGAGCCTCCGAGGGCAGCCGGTGGACAGGATGGATGCTGGCACACCCAGTGTCCTTGTGGCCCTAAGGGACCTCGGTGGAGGGCCTGGTGGGCCCAGGAAGGGCAGAGATGGGCCTGCTTGGAGTCTTGGGGGAAGAGATGGCCTGGGGAGGGGGCTGGACATCTAGTGTAGGCCTGGCTGTGGGCAGGAGGGAGGCAGAGGGCCAAGCTCTGCCCCCAGAGCAGCTGACCCCTCCCTCCTACTGCTGCAGCTTCACCTCCCTTCCCCCAGCTCCTGGCGCAGTGGGCCTCCCCTGGGCCCAGTCTATGAAACCCAGAGGGCCCCAAGATCCAGGAGTAGGGAGCAACTGCTGGCTCTGTGGGGGAGGGTAGCTTCCTCTGGGGCTGGTGTAGCCAAGGCGGAAGGGGATTTCTAGGGAGCAATGTTGGGGGTTCAAGTTTGTCTGACTGTGAGTCTGGGATGGTTGCTCTGGATACCACAGTCCACCTCCCTTCAGAGCTTAGTCCCTGGGAGCCCAGAGCTGACCCCTGTCCTTGTTCTCTGATCCTGGGCTCCTCTCCAGGGCTCCTCAGGACATTAGCCTGGAAGAATTTGACGATGAGGACCTGTCTGAGATCACCGATGATTGTGGCTTGGGCCTCAGCTACGACTCTGACCACTGCGAGAAGGTGGGAAGGGGCCAAGCCTGGAAGAGGGGAACTGCTTAGAGCTCCCTTGGAGTTTGGGGGTGGGCCTGAGCTCTGCCTTAAAGTAGAAGTCCCTCTTACCACTTTGACCTAAGGGCCTCTTTATAGGAGCCTTTTCTCACATCCTAAGTTGGCTCTTCTCTGCACACCTAAACTTGGCAGTCGTTGCCTGGCCTGGTCTGAGATGGGATGTGCATCAGCTTTGCAGACTAAAGCCCACTCACTGCCCACAGTGCTCAGGTCACTTCTCAGAAAGACACTGTCCAGATGCCATTTGCTTACCCTTGTCCCCTGCTCTGTCAAGCATCTGCATTCATCTGCCTCATCTCCCCCTTCTCAATCTCTTCCTATCGCCATTCCATTTCTTCCACTGCCCTGCCTCTACATCACTGGTTTTGTTCAGTCAAGAAATATCTGAACTGAGGGCCTTCTGGGGGCTAGGAGCTGACCAGGACAGGTGTGGCCTTGGCCCTCAGGAGGTGAGACTGACTTGTAAGGGACATTAACAGGGACTCCACATATTACAAGGTCTGCATTCCAGAAGGGGAGAAGGGGCACAAGTACTGTGGATGGAGAGGGAACCAGAAGGTCTTCCCACAGGAGGGTCTTCCGAGAGGGACAACAGGAACCAGGCTCATAGGGAGGAGTCACCAGGGAAGCATCCTGCTGTCCCAGACTATGTTCCTGCCTGTGTCCTGAGTGACAGGCTTTTCTCAGTGATGAGGGCGCTCCTACACAGATTGGACACAGCCCTGTCTTTATGGAGCCTGCAGTCTCATGGAGGACAGACCAAAGTCCACGTACAGTCGCTGATAAATGCCAAGAAGAAAGCAGTAGAATGGGGCAGGGAGGAAGGTCAGAAAAGTGGGCTGAAGCCACTGGCAAGGCCCTGATCACTCAGGAGTAGGATCCTTTCCCAAACACCTGTATGTTCTAAACTGTCATGCTGGCTGCAGTGGGCAAGGTGCACTGGAGGTGGCCCACCTGGGACCCCAAGTCATCACCACACACTCTGACCTGTGCCCCTAAGTTGCTACCATGTACTCTGATCTGTGACCCCATACTACCATTACGCACTGACCTGTCACCCCAAGTCACGTGAGTCACCACCATACACTCTGATCTGTGACCTTGAGTCACTGTGACCCCAAGTTGCCACCATGCACTCTAACCTGGGACCCTAGGATCTGGGACGCCAAATTGCCACTATGCACTCGGGCCCAGTGCTGCTATCCCTCCGTTTTCCTGCAGGACAGCCTCTCCCTGGGACGCTCGGAGCAGCCGCACCCCATCTGCTCCTTCCAGGAGGACTTCCAGGAGTTTGAAATGATTGATGACAATGAAGAGGAGGAGGAGGAAGAGGAGGAGGAGGAAGAGGGAGAAGGGGAGGGTGAGGAAGGAGGCCTCCATAGCTCCAAAGTTCCTGCTCAGGAGCCCCTGATCCCCTCCCCCTCTGTCACCGAGCTGCACAAGCACCGACCCACCACACTTCACCTGAGCACCCTGGGAGCACAGGTGAGTGGGCCAGCATCACCGGCCTGGTCATCTGGGCCCTCACTGCCCACCTGGCCTATTCCAGTGCCTGGACGCCTCCCCCAGAACAGCTCTCTACTTCCCTAGGATTCCCTGAACAACAACCGCAGCTTCGACCTTGTCCCTCCGGACCCCTGGCCAGAGACGCTGCTGAGCACACTGCCCCCGGAGGCCCTCCAAGGTGAGTGATGCTAGGCACATGCAGGAGGGAGAGGCCACTGGAAGGAGGCCAGGCCTCAGTGACCAGCCACCTCCTTCTCCCCTCACAGAGGTCTCCGGTGCCCTCCTGCCCACAGACACAGGCCCCCAAGGGTCATGTTCCCCCGTGCGGCCAGGCTGCGACTGCCAAGGGAACCAGCCGGCTGGGCCCCCGGCTCCGGGTGGGGCCTCGCCTTCCTCAGATCCGGGCATCGAGGCTGACCTGGGCAGCCGCGAGGGCCGGCGCAGCAGCCAGGAGCTGTCCACGCCAGGCTCAGACTCCGAAGGCCCAGGGGGCGCACGCCTGGGCCGCATGATCTCGTCCATCTCCGAGACCGAGCTGGAGCTGAGCAGCGACGGCGGCAGCAGCAGCAGCGGCCGCTCCTCACACCTCACCAACTCCATAGAGGAGGCCTCATCGCCAGCTTCGGAGCCGGAGCCCGAGCCCCCACAGGAGCCCCCGCGCCGGCCTGTCTTCCTGCCTGTGGGCCCCGACGACACCAACAGCGAGTACGAGTCCGGCTCTGAGTCCGAGCCGGACCTCAGCGAGGACGCCGACTCGCCCTGGTTGCTCAGCAACCTGGTGAGCCGCATGATCTCCGAGGGCTCCTCGCCCATCCGCTGCCCCGGCCAGTGCCTGTCACCACGCCCGCCGGGGGAGCTCACAGCGCCGGCCGGCGGGGACACCGAGGCCACACAAGCCACAGCGCAGGCCGGTGTGGAGCTGGTGGACATGGAGACGCTGTGTGGGCCGCCGCCGCCTGTGCCCACTGCACCCACCCGGCCTGGTCCAGTGCAGCCGGGGCCCTGCCTCTTCCTTAGCAACCCCACTCGCGACACCATCACACCGCTCTGGGCCGCTGTGGGCCGTAGTGGCCGCCCAGGTCGCACCTGTTCCGCTGCCTGCTCGGAGGAGGAGGATGAGGAGGAGGAGGAGGAAGAGGAGGAGGATGACGACGAAGCCGAGGAAAGCTCGGTGGTGCCACCGGGGGGCAGGCCTGGCTCTGCGCCACGGGATGCCTCGCTGGTGTACGATGCGGTCAAGTACACACTGGTGGTGGACGAGCACACCCAGCTGGAGCTGGTGAGCCTGCGGCGCTGCGCCGGCCTTGGGGACAACAGCGAGGATAGTGGAGGCGAGGCCAGCGAGGAGGAGGCTGGGCCTGGGCTGCTGGGCAGCAGTGGAAGTGGGGACCTGGAGGACGCCTCCCCAGACAGTCCTGACCTCACCTTCTCCAAGAAGTTCCTCAACGTCTTTGTCAACAGCACATCTAGATCCTCCAGTGAGTGGAGGTGGGAAGAGCGGGTGCTCGCTCTGTGCCTGTTCCCAGACTCTGTTTCCAAAAGCACCCGGGGCAGCCATTGGCAGCCATCCTGCTCAAGACATGGGCCTCTGGCCTGCCCGATCTCAACTGGGTGGAGGTGGGGTGAGGGGCTTGCTGCTTCCCTGTCTTAGGGTAGAAGCCCAGATCAGGTGGAAGTGGGCACCTGGCTCCTCCCCACCTGTCTGTTTTGTCTGTCCTGCTCTCTGCCTCAGGCACCGAGTCTTTTGGCCTTTTCTCTTGTCTGGTGAATGGCGAAGAACGGGAGCAGACCCACCGCGCAGTCTTCAGGTGCCACCTCCCTCCTCTCCTGCAGCTGTGGCCAGACCCCTTCCTCCTGTCCACAGTCTTTTTTATTGTGATTTTAATGAAAATGTACAGAGAAGTTGGATTTTCATTCATTCATTGTTTCCTATTTTCCTCCCTACCCCACCACAGTTCACTTAAAAAAATTATTCATTGTTGCATAATTTCCTCCCTGCCAACCTACTCCCACCCTACCCCACCTGTCCATGGGCATCTGAGGACAGAAGGGGTGCTCCCTATGCAGCTCTGCCTCCCCCCGGGTGACTTCTCACCTCTGACCCTGATGGCAGGTTCATCCCTCGTCATCCAGACGAACTGGAACTGGACGTAGATGACCCTGTGCTAGTGGAGGCAGAGGAAGACGACTTCTGGTTCCGAGGTTTCAACATGCGAACCGGGGAGCGTGGAATCTTTCCTGCCTTCTATGCTCATGCGGTGCCTGGCCCCACCAAGGACCTGCTAGGTGAGGCCCTCCCCCCGGGTGTAAGGGGTGGGGTGGCAGCTGTGGTCACACAAGCCCCACCCCTTGACCCAGGCATGTGGGACTGCAGGCAGCAAGCGGAGCCCTTGTTGGGTGGACCGATTTGACGTGCAGTTCCTGGGCTCCGTGGAGGTCCCTTGTCACCAAGGCAATAGCATCCTGTGTGCTGCCATGCAGAAGGTTAGTTTGGGGAGATGCAGGGATGCTTTGAGGGGCCAGAGTGAGACCAAGGGGTGGAAGGCCTTGAGGTGGGCCAGAGTGGGCCTGCAGGCTGGGTACAGCATCTGATGGATGCCATAGAGGACATGAAGCACTCTCACCCCCACCTTGCCATCCTACTTCAGAGGCTGAGCTGACAGAAAAGCTCGGAGCTTCTGCTGGCCCCTCCTGCCCTTCAGCTTGCTCTCCTTCTGTCTGAAAACAAGGCTGGTCCTTGGCTCTATGCCCTTGTTCACTTCATTCATTCATTTGCTCATTTGCTCCGGGGTGTGGTGAACAGAAAATGTGACTGGAGGGAGAAAGGGACAAATAGCCAGGGCTAGCTGAGCACCCAAGCCAGTCAGGAGCAGGTGGGGTAGGGAGGGTGTCCTAGCACCCTTGACCATCTCACAGGCCTGCATCTCACAGGCTTCAGCACTAGGTTAAAGAACCTAAAAGTTCCAGGTGTGCCAAGAGGTGAGCGAGGCCCCTTGAGACCCACTTTCCCTGGGCTTCTTCCCCAGATTGCCACAGCACGGAAGCTGACCGTCCACCTGCGCCCTCCTGCCTCCTGTGACCTTGAGATCTCTCTTCGGGGGGTCAAGCTGAGTCTGAGTGGAGGAGGCCCTGAGGTGATGGTCAGGGAACTTGGGCACAGGAGAGTGTTGGGGTCTGAAAGGGGCCTAACCTTTCTCCACCTGACTTGCCATCTGTCTGATCACTTCTGTGCTAGTTCGAGCGCTGCAGCCACTTCTTCCAGATGAAGAACATTTCCTTCTGTGGGTGCCACCCCCGCAATAGCTGGTGAGAGCCCACTTCCTGAGTCTATTGCCCTGGGCCCTCTAAGCACCTGGCAGCAGGCCCTCCATCCACGAGGCCCTCCATGAACAAGCCCCTTTGTGCACAAACCCCTCCATGCACCTGTCCCACCATGCACTGGGTCCTCAGTGCATCTGGCCCTCCGCACAAGCCCCCCCGTCCACCTGTGCCTCCATGCACTGGGCCCTCTGTGCACAAGCATCTCCGTGCACCTGCCCCTCCATGAACAAGCCCCTCTGTACACTTGTCCTTCTATGCACTGGGCCCTCTGTCCTGTTCCTCCATGCACTGAGCCTTTCTTGAATCAGGCTCTCCATGCAGTGGCCTCTCTGTGCACCAGGCCCTCTGTACACTGGGCCTTTGCTCTGTACAGCCTAGGTGGGAGTTGGACACACACTGTGAAGAAGATGGCTTTGCACCACCAAGGAGACCTGGGGAGATGCAGCCAGTTCCCCTGGAGACCCTTGATGGGCTGATTGTTGGTAGCCCTGAGCAGAGGTTGGCCAGGTGTGGGGTGTCAGGGAAGCAATTGTGAAGAGCTATCTAATTGACAGAGACAAGAATTTGTACCAAGGAGCTTGTGCTGGCTCCATTAGCCGTGGGCCCTGGCACCCAGGGCCCAGCTTGTAGCTGATTCCAGCACTGTCAGATGCTGCCTCCGCCACAAGGTTGGCCAGGGGCAGTGCAGTGGGATGTGGTAAGACCTGGTCACTTAGCAGATGAGACCAACTGGAGGTGAGGGTAAGCTGGAGGCTTGGCAGCAGGTGGCATCACACTCTGAGAAAAGAAACAGAGTGACCAGGCCTGGGAGATAGACCAGAGAGATCTACAAAGTGAAGGGCCAAGTGACTCAGGCTTAGTGAGGATGACAGACTGTGTAGGGGGCTGCAGGATCAGGGTCAGAGAACCCAGTGGGGGCTAGTGGGTCCCTGTGTCCCAGATAGAGGAGGTGAAGGGCCTGTGAAGTCAGTGGGCCTGATGAGGAGTAGGCAGGTGGGGATGATGACCTATGGGAGAGGCACATGGGTGAGAGACCAGCTCAGCCATCCTTCTGGGACCTAGGTGTTAGATGCTGCTGAAGGCATGAGAGGCAGAACAGTGCCCAGCTCAGACCAGGACAGTGGACATGCATTGCCACCACACAGAAGGGCAGGCTTCCTTATCCAAAAGGATATCTCAGGCCTGGACCCTGCAGGAAGGACATGTAGGGCTTGGTGACCAGAGACGGAACCGGAAGACCAGGAGCCACTTCACAGGCTGGGCCTTCCTTGGCCTCACTGTCCAGCGTGGGTGGTAGCCAGTGCCCAGCAACCCCTCACATTAGATACTGCAGAGTGCTAAGGGAGGCCAGATGGCAGGCCGCGCATGCGCAGAAAGCAGTGCGTGATGTTGGGTGAGGCCCGAGCCACGTCCTGCCACTGGCTCGGGTTCTGCAACGTTACTGAGCCCTCCTGACCTGCAGGGAGCACCTTGCGTTGGTCTAGAGGAGATGGAGTAGCATTTCTAAGTCACACGTGAGTTTAGCCGATTTACAGCTGCCAGGTGAGAAGTTGTGTTCATGGCAGACTGGGCTTGCTCTCTGCAATGACACTCACGTGATGTGGTCTCGGGCCCTGGGGCCCTGAGGTCTCAGGTTGCAGGACATTGCACACTGATTGGTGGCCGGGTCTTGGGAATACCAGAGCAGATTCCAGAGAGGCGCAAACCATCAACAATGAAGGAGGTTGCAGGGCAGAGGCGTCCCCGGGGAAGGGCTGAGGGGCGGGGCCAGGGTCTAGAGGAAGGAGCTGGGCCCAGCTGCAACCTTATGCCAGCGGGGCAAATCCAGAAAGCGCAATGGGGACACCTGGGGCTGGCCAAGGAAGGGAGGTCTGGCTGGTGTCCAAGCCAGATGTCCTACTACGATTCTGGGACGAACCCCCACCGGTTTAGATCAGACTCCCTGAAGCCCGGTGACGTTCCCTGCCCGCCTACCAGCGGCCGCGGGGTAACCTGGGGGGCCATGCCTCTGACCCCCCACGCCCTGCCCCCAGCTACTTCGGCTTCATCACCAAGCACCCCCTGCTGAGTCGCTTTGCCTGCCACGTGTTCGTCTCCCAGGAGTCCATGCGGCCGGTGGCGCAGAGCGTGGGGTGAGCAGGGACGGATGGGGTGCATCGGGGTGGGGGGACTGGGCGGCTGGCAAAGCAGAGCAGTGGTGGAGGCCATGCCTGTAGGTGAGTCCCCAGTGGGGGAGAGGGGAGGGGACACTCGGAGGGGTGGAGGCCACGTGAGTGGTGTGGCATTGGGGGTGGGGCCCAGAGGAGCCTTGCTTGACGCCGCCACCCGCACCCCCAGCCGCGCCTTCCTGGAGTACTACCAAGAGCACCTGGAATACGCCTGCCCCACAGAGGACATCTACCTGGAGTAGCTGCCCGTCGCCCTGCCCCACCCCATCTGCTCCTGGCGGCTGGGCTGGGCTGTCTCTAGGCCCCAGGGGCTTTGACAAAGACTGAGTTAGGGTGTGAATTAGGGGACTTTACTTTCATGGGTGTCTCTGAGCTCCTTCCTCACCCTTGTTCCCTGACCTGGCCTTCGGGGGCCTCTGGAGCCCTTACCCCGATCTTTTTCTCTGACCTAGCCTTTCTGTGTCACCTCATCTCTGTCTGTCCCTTGGTGTCTGACCAGCTGTTTTTCCCTGGGTCCTTGCCTTTCCCCGTGTCTGTCCCCTGCCCTTAGCCCCTGGTGGACTTGGGGGTGTGGGGGAAAGTCAGGCTCCCAGAGGCCCCGTCTCCCCCTAATTTATAAAGGAATTTTCATTTTTATAGACTCTAGGGGTCACCCTGCCCTTGGCCACAGAGACAAGGAGAAGCCTGCCTGCCCCACCTAGAACTCAGAGGGTTACAGGGAGGGTCCCCAGAAGAGCCTGAGGGACTTGGCATGTCTTTCCATGCCACCCCCAGACCTGCCTGAGGAGGTGCCCTGGGCCTGGCCTGCCCGCTTTCCGCTGCTAGCACCCTGGTCCAGTGCGCCTGTATCTGCCCCATGCTGTACGTGGCACTGCCCACTGGCCTCAATAAACTCTGCTTGGTGTGATTCTGGCTGTCCCTCAGGGTAACTGTGCAGGGGCTGAGACCCCAGGGTGACTAGGGTAATGGGTTGCTAACAGCTCTTTTCCAGTGCTGGGGCAAGTGTTCTGGAAGGAACCTCCTCAGAGTCATGTGATGTGCTGGCAGAGAAATAGGCAAAGAGGAAGAGGCCCCATCAGGCAGTCACTGGGCAGGAGGGGGTGCAAGTGAGTGATTTCCGCCTTTATGACTACTCCAGAGCTGCTGTGCCACCTGCCATTGTACTTAACTTCCAGGTGGGTGGAAGTGGCACAGGTGAAGGGCAAAAGGGGCAGGCCACTGATTTTGCCTAGCCCCACTGTCTTTGCTTCCCTCGGAGCACAGCTGAGGCATTGTGGAACAGAGGAGCAGAGCAGTACTCACACACTGGAGACTGTGTCAATACTGGCCTGGAGCCACCCTGAAGGATAGGAAGTGGGAGCCTGGGTCGGAGCCCCTGATCTCCTGGTCAGAGCTCCAGGGACATGGAGTCCCTACTTCCATGGCAAGTCCTCAGGACCATGGCCCAACCACCACTGAGGTCTGAGGTGTCCAGGACACCACTGCAGAGCTGTGGTCTGATGCTGCCTCAGACACTTCAGGAGGTGTTGAGGGCAGGCTTGGCTGGGGGTCCTGGTGGGAGGGTGATAGGGATGGCAAATGGCACACCCAGGAGGGGACCTTCAGGACATTGCTGAGTGAGGCTGGAGACCCAAGTCTGCCCTAGTGGCTGTCCTCATCTAGTTTGCAGGTGTGGACACATGTGGCTGTGGTGGAAGTCCCCCAGAGCCTTGTCAGTCATCAGCCCAGTCACATTTGGTAGAGCTGGTGCAGACGCAGGGGGGACATGGCGTACTCATTGCAGTCAGTGTGCCTAGTATGTGTCTTTGAGCATTGGTGAACAGATGCCGTTACACACAGCTTTGTAGAAGGGCAGACAAAATAACGGTGTTAGTGGGGGGAAAAGACTGCCTTCAGAAAAGCCAATCCTGGAAATGGCTGAAGTGGAAAAAGCAGTTCTATTACATGTGTGCATTTAGGAGACAGGGAGTATCTTGTGGTTAGATGCCATGGAGTCCACTAGGATTCATAGTGACCCTGTGAACAGATCTAAACTGTGCCCTATCTGGCACCATCCTCACACCACCCTAACAGTCTCTGATATGCTCAGCCCCTAGTTACAGTCACTGTGTCATTATATTTGTTAAGAGTCTTTTCTTCCTCTGAGCCTCCACATTTTCTAGCATGATGTTTTTTCCAAAGACTAGCCCTTCCTGACAATATGCTCTAAATCCATGAGACAGTGTTTCACCATCCTTGCCGCTACGGAGCACTCTGGTTGCACTTCCTCTAAGGCAGACTTGTCCATTTTGCAGTCTATCTTCAGTATTCTCCAAAACAACTCAAAGGCATTGGTATGTCTTCTGTCATCTTTATTCATGGTCCAACTTTCAGATGCATAGGAAGCAATTGAGAATACCAAGGCTTGGATCAGGTGCACCTTAGTCTTTAAACTGACATCTTTGCTCTTTAGCACTTGGGACTTAACAGCAAATTTTCCTAGTGAAACATATCTTTTGATTTCTTGAATGCTGCTACCATGGGGAGTTCTGCTGACCCAATGGGTAAGGAATTATGCTGTCAACCCAAAGGCAGAGGGTTGGAACCCACCAGCTGCTCCATAGGAGAAGATGGAAAAGTCTTGCCCTGTGCCATTTACAGCCTCTGAAAACCTGCTGGAGGGTCAGCTGTGAGTCAGTTCCAATTCAATGGTAATGAGTTGAAGAGATACCCAGACTGCTCATGTTTGGCGTCTTCCTGCACCTTGTGATACTGGCATTAGCTGACGTTGGCCTTCTGGTCTCAGGGGGGAAAGCTATGATTTAGCACATCATATAAAGTAGAAAGAAAAATCTGAGATTAAGAGAAAACCTACCAGTAATTAAAGTTTTACCCAGTTAAAGTTGTCCTCCTTATTCATTGAGAGATGGCGTGGTGATAGGAAGTTTTGCTGCTAACCCAAAGTGTGGTTTCTCATGCAGTTCAAACCCACCAGCAGCTCTACCAGAGAAAGATGAGTAGTTTCCTCTGTGCTATTTACAGCCTCCAAAAACATGCTGGAAGGTCAACTATGATCCCACTTGATAGCAATGAATATTGAAAAGGTCATCTTTGGTACAAGGTCAGAAATCCTGTTATATTACTTGAAGAGAGTGAAGACCCTTCAGTCTTACTAAATATTATGTTTTTAAAAGCCCCAAAATGGCTGCAACAGTATATGGACTAGGAACTGCCAGAAATTTGAGTTGATGTAAGATGGATCTTGACAGCACCAGAAAGATGTCTACTTGTGTTTTATTGACTATGCAAAGGTATTTGAGTGAATCTAACAAATGGATAACTTAGAATACTTAACTATACTCTGCGAAACCTCTCCGTAGACCAGGAAAGAGACATCTAACCAGAACGAGGGAATGCTGCATGGTCTAAAATCAGGAAAGGTGTGCAGCAGGGTTGGATTCTTTCTCCATACCTATTGAATCTGTATACTGGACAATTCATTCAAGAAGCCAGACTATATGAAGAAGAATGTGCCATCAGGATTGGACAAAACTCACCAACAATCAGTTATGCAGATGACAACCCTGCTTACATACTGAAAAGGATTTGAAGTACTTGCTGCAGAAGATCACAGACTACAGCCTTCAATATGGATTACATTTCAATATTGAGAAAACAAAAATTATCACCACTAACCTGATAGGCAACATCAGAAAAGACTGAAATTGTCAACAATTTCATTTTACTTGGACCCACAGTCACCACCAAAATAAAAAGTTATGTTGTCGGGTGAATCTGCTTTCCAGGACTTTTTTAAAGTGTTAAAGAGCAAGGATGTTAGTTTAAAAGACTAAGATGTGCCTGATTCAAGCCATGGTATTTTAAGTTGCCTCCTGTATATCTGAAAATTGGACAATGAATAGAATGACAAAGAATACTGCCTAAAGAACAAACAGTTCTGTCTTGAAGGAAGTGCAACCAGAATGCTCTTTAGAGGTGAGGATGGTGAATCTTCATCTCCATGTATTTGGACATATTATCAGGAAGGGCCAAGTCCTTGGAAAAAGACATCATACTGGGAAAGGTCAGAGAAAGAGAAGAGGACCCTCAACAAGATGGATTGGCATAGTGACTAACAGCTTTGAGCATATCAGAGATGATGAGGGTGGGGCAGGGTTCAGACCTGTTGTTATACGGTTGCTATGAGTCATAGTTGACGTGATGGCACCTAACAGCAATATCAAGAAAACAAAGATCTTACCACTGTGCCTGTTGGCAGCATCATGATAGATGAAGACTGAGATTTTTAACAATTTCATTTTGCTTGGGCCCACAATCAACACTTCTGGCACCAACAGTCAGGCAATCAAAAGGTGAGTTGCTTTAGGAAAGTTTGCTGTCAGGGACCATTCCAGAGTGCTAAAGAGAAATTATGTCAGTCTCACATAACAACAACAACAAAGACTAAGGTACACCTGATCCAGTTCATGGTCTTCGCATTTGCTTGCTTTGCATCAGAGAGCTGGACAATGAGTAAGGATGACAGAAAGAGAATTGATGCCTTTGAGCTGTGGTGCTGGAGAAGAGTCTTGAACATACTGTAGACTGCCAAGCGAACAAACAGATCTGTCCTGGAGAGAGTGAAAGCAGGTTGCTCCTTGGATGCAAGGATTTTCATGCTCTGTCTCACAAACTTTGGACATGTTGCCAGGAGGACATCATGCTTGTAAGGGTTGAGGGTCTGTGCAGGAGAAGACCTGGATGAGATGAATTGACTCAGTAACTGGGGTAGTGCTGTCAGGTGTGTCAGAGACTGAGGTTGGCTCGGGATAGGACAGGGTTCAGAGTATTGTTCTTAGAGTCAGTATGAGTCGTACTTGACTTGACAGCACATAACACAATGAAAAAGTCTTCAAAACTGTCCTAGGCTAGAAGAATAAGGGACTGCAGTCTGATGAGGAAGCCTCCTTCAATTGTCATAGGGAAAAGGGCCCTTCTTCCTTTACAAATAGTATTAAATACTAGGTTTGCTGTTGCTATCTTTCCTGTTGTCATTGTACCTAGTTAGCCCTCTGAGTTGATGACAAAAGGCGATCTGGTTTGCTTCTTCATGCCACATAGAGAAGCCAGTCCCTGCTGCGCTGGTCATAGTGTGGGGTACCATCACTGCAGGGGACGTAAGCTGAGCACTGGTTGTGCCCACAGCAGCCAAAGGTAGTAGGTCAGGCCTGCTGCTGGCTTCCCTCACCCCAGGGATACTGTCCTCTGCCTGGAGCCCATGGGGACCAGTTGTGCTGCCATTGCTGGGTGGGAAGGTGATAGCTGTGCTGTCTCAGGACAGAGGAGCCCAAAATGAAGGAGTCTTGATCTCCTGCACCCTCAGTGTGTACATGTGTATGGATGGGTGTGCAGTTGTACATGTTAAGTGCATGCACATACACACATGTAAGTTGTGTGCACATGGGCATGCATATATTCACACACCAGTGTACCTGTGCATGTGAGCATGCATACATTGTGTACATATTTGGCATATATATACATGTGTACATGTGAACACATGTATATGCATGTGGACTAACATGCATTGTGTAAAAGTATGCATGGGTGTGTACACACAGATTTACATGCACTGGCATGTGTGACTGCATGTGCTCATACATGACAGTGTACACTCCTGTGACCACATGTATGCATACAGTGTGCATACAGATGCATGTATACGTGTATAGCTATAAGGTGTAATCATGACCACTCCTGTTGTGCACATATACATGTGCATGCATAGTGCACACATATACACTTACAAGGAGGCAAATGTGTATGTTCATTTATTGTGTACACGTGTATGTGAACATGTGTCTTGGGTGTGTACATCTCAACACACGGACAGGCATGTATGTACATGAGTGTTCACATACATACTTGGGTGTTATACACATGTGCACGAGAGCCAGCATTATTGAAGAATACATTGTGCTGAAACTTTGAGAAACCTAATTCTCAGTGAGACCCAGAATGCTAGGAGTGGGGTCTTGTTGCTTTCTTCCATGGAGGTGCCCTGTGCACCCGTGCTCACCTGGAGCCCAGGATCTGTACGCGACACAGCAAGTGACAGCCCAACATCAGTGAAGCAGTTTATTTCCTCACCAAGCCTCTGGAGGGCGGTGGCTGCAGTCATGGGCTGGCAGCAGCAGGACTTTAGGATGTTAGGGAGTGAGTGGGGCTGGCACCTCTGCACCTTGGTACTACCTGTCCAAGTAGCTGCTCAGACACAGCTGTATCCGCACACCTGACTCTCCAAGGAGGGAAGCGGGAGGAGCCAGCCCTCACACACTGACCAGGACTCTAGGCCACATAGCCCTGACAAGGGTGTCCTCTCCTAAGGTGAGGGTGATGGCACCCTCACCCCAGGTCATAAGCTATCCAACAGTGGGAAAAATGAGGCCCATCAGGAGGCAAGTGGGTGGCTGCTGCCTAGCTGCTCGTCCACATGGCCTTGGGACCATTTATACTTGACCACCAGCCACCACTTCCCTTGCTCATCCAAGCCTGAGAGCATGACCAGGACCTCTGAGAGCTACTGTCAGATGCTACAACAGGGCCTTGTTCCTGCACAGACATGTGAGCACAGGTGGGTGTCCAGTGCTACCCTAGTGACCAGGGGGCAGGCATGGGCAACCCTGAGGGGAGAGAAGGAGCACAGGGTGTCCTCTGTAGAAGCGGCTGTGCTGAAACCTGGGGATGAGGAACGGGCCAGCTGTCAGGGAGCAGGAGGGTGACCTTGTCTGCTGAGGTGGGGCTGGGTTCTCAGGGGCCAGGCAGGAGTTAGGACACAGGCAGAAGCTGCCTCCCGAGAGCCCTGCACACTCTTCACACTCCTTGGCCTTTCCAATGATGACCTGTACCAGGTGCTACTTCCCCTTCCCCATGTGTGCACAGGCCCAGAGCACCTGGGAACCATTTCCTCAGCTACAAATAGGGCACAACTTTTCTCCTACACCTGTGCAGTTAGGGTGAGCAAGTGCCAGTCCCACCTCCTGCTGGCTCTGTGTCTTTGGACCCAGCCGCCCCGCCCCCCCCCCAATTCTTCATCACCTCTCTGCCAACAGCACCTTCCTTAAAGAACTCACATGAAGGTTACAGATGACATCTACAGGTCAGCTGGGCTGGCCAGCGAGATGCCATGTTGTTAGCTTGTGTTATCTTACAGACCCTTCCATATACCTGTGCCAGTATAAACACTCTCACAGCTAACACATGACCCATGTGGGGCCCTGGTGTTGGCTAGGGCTGGGTTTGGGGTTCAGGCTTGTTTGGGGGTTAGGCCTGTGACGGAGACTTGTTTTTACTGCCAAGTTCCTGATCTGGGCACGAGCAGCAGCCTGGCCAAGGCTTGCAGGCTGGCTGACAGCAGACCTGCAATGCAGGGTCCTCCCCGAGGGCCATTTGGCTGGGGCCAAAAGTCACCTCAGCATCGAAGTGGGCCTTGAGCACCTGCAGCTCCTTCAGTGCCTGCAGCACCTCTTGGGAGACCTGGGTCATGCCCCCTAGGAGGTCATAGTTCTCACCGGGGTCCACAGAGAGGTCAAAGAGCAGTGGGGGCTCATGGATGGTCAGCGGGCTTGTGATGTGGCAGGCTGGGTCAGCTGTTGTGTCACTGAGAGCAGAGCCTAGAGGGCAGGGGGCAGATGGGGCCAATGAGTAGAAAGCAAGGGACTCACCCCTGCATAGAACGTAAAGGGAGGGGGCTAGGCGAGCCAGGGATGATTACCCTGGGTGTAGAAATGAGCCTTGTACTTCCCATTCCGCACGGCAAAGACCCCATATATCTCGTTTGGGTTGACCGGATGGAAGAAGACAGACTGCCGTGGGCTCTGGAGGCAAAGTTAAGGGGTCACAGAGTGGGGAAAGCCCTGAGCTATCAACACCTGCCCTGAGCACCTGCTCCTAGCCCTCCTAGGGCCTGGGGCTGCAGCTGGGCCGCCCACATGCCACCTGCCCACTCACCCCAGATGTCTTGTTTATGCTGTGCCTACACTACCTTCACACCCATACTCACCCCTCTGTGTTCACACCAGTGCTCCTGCTCATGTTAGGCTCACACCAATGCTTGGGTTCAAACCATGCCCACACTGTGTTCACATTCACACAGTGCTTGTGTTCACTCTATGCTCATACTACACGCATGCGTAATTCATCCCTAAGTCCTGGGGTCATGGCCCACCTTGCCAGTGCCCAACAGCACAGGGCTGAGGTCAAAGCCGTCCAGGGTAACATTGGGCAATGGGGCCTCTGCGAGGGCAGCGAGGGTAGGCAGCAGGTCTAGGGAGCTGGCCAGTTCATGAGTCACTCCTGTAGGCAGAGGGCTGTCACTCACTCAGTCTGCTGCCAGGGGGTCAGGGGGTGAAGGGGGGGCCTGGGGACTAACCGGGAGTGATGTGGCCTGGCCAAAAGGCCAGGGCTGGCTCTCGCACGCCTCCTTCATAGGTGGTCCCCTTTCCACATCGCAAGAGGCCAGAGCAGCCACCACGGAACATCCGCATTGTCTCAGGCCTGGACGCCAAGAGGTGACTGTCTGCGATAAGCCCACTGTGGACCCTCAGCCACCACCATCCACAGACCACACCGGGCTGACCCTGGCCTAACCAAGGTCACTGTTCCTGGCCCCTGCATCCCACCCAATCCTCAGGGTGCGGCCGGCAGGAATGGGGAAGCTGCATACCCGTTGTCTGAGGTAAAGATGACCAGTGTCTCTCTGAGCAGACCCAGGTCCTTAATGGTGGCCATTAGGGCCCCTACAGCTGCATCCAGCTCCATCAAAGAGTCTCCAAACGGCCCACGGCCAGAACGCCCCGTGAAGCTCTCCCCACTGAACTGGGGGTAGTGAGTATGCTGCAGGCGGAGGGCTGGAGTCAGCATCTGGTGGGTGTGGGGGAAGGGAGGGGCGCGCGCAGGTGCCCCCAGACACTCACATGGGAAGCATAGTACAGGAAGAAGGGGCGGTCCTGACTTTTTGCATCCGCCATGAGGTCTCGAGCAAAGGCTACGTATCGGGCCTCCAGGCCAGGAAGCCAGGGGGGCTGTGCCTCTACAGACAGGTTGGCCAGCAGTGGGATGGGGACCAGGCCTTGGTCACAGTGGCCCTCACATGGGATATTCGGTGGGAAGCAGGTCAGGTTCTGGCAGGGACCCTGGGAAGCGGTTCCAGTCAGGGGCTAGGGCTTTGGGTAGAGGGCGCAGGAGGACAACCTGGGCCCCCAAGGATCTCATACCTGGTCATGAGAGTAGGGGATACCCAGGAACCGGTGGAAGCCCTGGTGAGGGGGTAGAAAGACTCCTCCAGGCCCCACCCCAAGATGCCATTTCCCAGCCATGCCTGTGAGGTAGCCTCGGGCCTCCAGGACCTCAGCCAGTGTCACCTCCTCCAGGGGTAGGCCCCCCTTGGAGCCAGGCTTCAGGACTCCAGGGTACATGCCCGTTCGCACAGGGAGTCTCCCGGTGAGGAGAGCGGCCCTGCAGACGGAGGCAGGGGGACCAGTGGAGGAACAATGGGGACAAAGGCAGGGACACCCCAGGGGACGCTCCCCGCCATCCCTCAAGCCACAAAACCCAGGAGAGAGGAGTCCAGCGTCTGCGGCTGCGGGCTGTGCTCCTCACCGGGAGGGTGTGCACAGTGACATCGGCACGTAGAAGTCGGTGAACCGCAGCCCTGCCGCGGCCAGCTGGTCAAGGTTGGGGGTGCGCGAGCTGGGGTGGCCGTAGGCGCCCAGGTCCCCATAGCCCAGGTCGTCGGCAAAGATGACCACGAAGTTAGGTGGGCCGGCAGCAACCAGGCCGGCCAGGGACAGAGCAAGAGGCCACAGAGTTTCCATGGATGCGCAGCGAAGGGCTGGCCAGGGACCCCTGGTGGGGAAAGCAAACTGGCCCCAAGAACGGAGTCCCTGCCACGACCCCTCCCCAAAGACCCCAGACTCCGCTGGGTCAAATCCCTTCCTCACTCTGGATAGCCCACTCGGACCCGCACAGAGCCAGGAAGTCGAGGCTTGCAATACGACCTCCACGTGTCAGAACCTTGGGCGAAAAACTGGTCCTGCACCAAGAGCTCCCCACTCGGAAGTCACCCGACCTGCAATTACCTGCGGGAGAGTGACAAGGAGCAGAACGCCGCCAGGGGCCACCGCTTCCGGGATGCTTCCTGCTTCCGGCCAGCGTGGCCCCGCCCAGCCCCTGGGCATGTATCCCGCCTGTCTCCTCCCAGCACCCCCCACGCCCCGGCTGTTCCCACCCCTGGGCCTGTTCCCCATGCCCCACCTGCCCGCTGACAATCTCACCTGCCCCCCCCCCCCGGGCTGTCCCCATCCCACTCCCCACCCCAGAACTTGTTCCCCACCCCACCTGCCCCTGGACTGTCCCCACCCCCTGGGGCTTCACCCCTCGGCCCGTTCCCCTGCCCCGCCCCTGGGGCTGTCCCCACCCCCAGCCCCGCCCCTGGGATTGATGACACACCCCCCATCCCCTCCCCCCCGTCCCTGTTTCCCCGCCCCTGGGATTGTCCCCCACCCCCCGCCCGTACCTGGGCTTGTTCTCACCACCACAAACCCTGGGGCTGTCCCCACCCTTGCCTCTGGGGCCGTTTCCCCCATCCGCCCCTGGACCTGTCCCTCTCACCCCTAGGCCTGTTCCCACCACCGATCCTGAGCTTGTTTCGCCCCGCTGCCCCTGAGCCTGTTTTTTTCCCCCCTCCCGTCTGTCTTCCCCCAACCCCTGCCCCTGGGCCTGTCTCCCCGACACCAGCCCCGGGGCCTGTTCCCCCTTGTGGTTTCTCGGCCCCGATCGGGGCGGTACTGGAGGCTGCTGACTGGGTGGGATGGGACAGGGGGCGGGGCTAGCAATCAAGCAACAAGCCGGGGGCGGGACTATCCGGAAGGGAATAGTCTGGGGGGCAGGGCTGGAGGGCTCTAGGCGGGCCGGGGGCGGGGCTGTAGGGTGTGAGGGGTCGCCGGGGCGAGGCTGGAGGGCATATGGACGACTCGGGGACGGAGTTGGAGGGCGACGGGTGGGGAAGAGGGCGGGGCTAGCAGACATGAAACAAGCCGGAATTAACCAGCTGGAGGTGGGGCTGGAGGGCGCAAGCGGCGGTTGGGGGTGTCAGGGGAGGTGCTGAAGGGCGAGGGGCGGGACCTGGATAGAGTCGGGTTGGAGGACCAGGCACAGGATTGGAGTCGCGAAGGAGACAAGGGGGGGCGGGACCGGGGGCGTGGCTAGCAGCCATGAAACAAGCCGGGGGCAGGGCTAACCGGAACAGGCTGGAAAGCTCAAGGTGGGCCGGGGGCGGGGCTGTAGAGTCCTAGGGGCCGCCGGGGCGGGGCTAGAACGTGCGTGCCGGACCTAGCGCAAAGGAGCCAGCGGGGGGTCGGGCAGGCGGTGTCAGGCTGAGCGTGGGCGGGGCTGATGGGTGCGGGCCGGGGCGGGGCCTGGGTCCTCCTTGAGCGGTGCTGTGGGGAGTGGCAGGGCGGGGCGGGGCTTGTGTGGACAGGAAGTGTGTCTAGGGGCAGTGACTACCAAGTGCTTCTTGGTGCTAGGGCGGGGCAGGGGCGTGCCCTGGACGTGTCCTAAGCAGTTATCTTAGTCCACTAGGTCGTTTCTAGGGACTTAGCTAGGGTGTTAGATGCAGGGCCAGAACCTCTAGGGTCTCCGGTGGGGTCCCGGGCTGGAAATGAGACTTTGACTTTGGGCTGCTCATTTCTCTGGTTTTTATGCTGGTCTTCTGGAGTCGCTGGGGCCTCCCACCTGGCCAGCAAAAGGCGCTCTGTGCATCCACTTGCAACGATGGCCATGCTTGGACTACGCTCCCAGGGGAGGTAACTGTGAGGTGGCTCTCGTACTGTGAGGCTTGGGAGTATTTTTCAGCAAGTCTGAACATCAAATATATGGGTGCTTCACCCTGAAAATGAGTAGGTCAAAGGGAAAGGTACTCGAGACTATGAAATAAGTGAGGGGAGCCAGCTGGATTTGGAGTTCCCTCAGGAGAATGTTCTTCCAAACCCCTTCCCCTCTCCGTGTGAATGCTCGGGGGTCTGGATGGTCAGCTTCAGCGGGGAGAACTGGTCCCAGCTCCCCTGCTGGAAGGGTTATGGACAAATTACAGCTGCTTTGATCCTCTGTTTAGCTGTAAAATGGGACTGTCAAGACTACTCCTCGTGGGAGCTATAACCTAGAGAGAGGCTCCAAGGTTAGAGCAGTTCTTGGACAAGTCCCCAGGCAGTGTTCCTCCCAGGTGCACTAAAAGCAGTGCCCGACCCAGAACAGCCCTATACTCCCAGCCCTAACACTGTGCCCTCCACAACAGGGCAGACCTCCCAGGTCCTCGACCTTGTGCTTTGGGCTCATCCCTCAGGGGGAACTTCGGGCTCTGATTCATAAGGCATCCTGGGACCAGCGTGCTCCAGAGGAGACCTTCAACCCGGGAGACAGTGGAGTAGTGCGTAGGGCTACTGGAAAGGCCTCTGAACACTGGAGGGGTGGGGGGAGGCCCAGGGCTCCATCAGCAAAACCCAACCTGGATGCTCCCAGATGACCCGCCAGCTTGTGGAGGGCAAAGCCCGGAGTGCGATATCTACAGGGCAGAAGTCTAGTAACCCAGAGATGGGCTGGGGACCCCAAGTCTGGCTGCTGCTCAGTCAGTGGGGCTCAGGTGAGTCTACAGTTGACACAGTGTTTCCTGAGCAGAACTTGGAACCAGTTCCTTCAGGTAGAATCTTACCACCATGCCCATATATGTGCCACCAGAGGGAGCTTTGGCAGCCTCGTGGCAAGGAGTCACACTGCCAACTTGAAGACACGCAGTTCAAATCCACCAGCTGCTCAGTGGAAGAAAGACGCGCATCTCCTCCCATACGATTTATCAGCTCTGAAAAATTGCCGGGGGTCAGCTATGGGTTGGTTCCGACTCAAGAATGCATAGCAACCATGTCCACATGTGTGGTAAGGGTATGGGCATGTGGCAAAATGTAGGTTCTGGCTCAGAAAGGCCTGGAGAGGGACTGCTACACTGCTAGCTGGAAGGCCAGCAGTTGGCACCCACCGGCTGCTCCTCCTGTTGAGATTTCCAGTCTCAGAAGCTGGGTGGAGGGTCCAGGATTTGAGGGTCTGGGTTTGGGGCAGGAAATGCAGAGTCTCCATAGAGACTCAGACCAGAAGCAATCAGTTCAAAGCCCTATTTCTGGGTCTGTGCGTGGGTGTGCATTCCCCGAGGGGTGGGTGGGTTGGTGCTGCTGCACTGGGCTGTGATCTAGAGCTGGACAGAGAGTGCTTTCTCTGGCCCAGAAATCTTTGAGCCTGTAATTGGAGCGATCTCTGCAGTTGGTTGGCGCTATGAATCGAAGTTTACAAAGGCACAAACTGAAAGTGCTTTTTTGTCTTTCCACTGCAAAGTGAGAAGTACCCCAGGTGGTGCTGGAAGACCCAGTGTCTGGAAGAGCCTGCCTGGATTGGACCCTGTGCTGATGCCCACAGCCCTGGTAGCTCTGGAAGCCTACAGGGTGGGCTCAGATGCAGTGGTATTGCCCACTCTGACCTCTGTCCTTCGCACTGGCAGCCGAGTGTTGCCATGTCTGTTCAAAGCCTCTGTGGGCTGCCGCTGTCTTTGGAGATGTGAGTCTTTTTTGGTTGCTGTGGGAGCCTGGGAGTGGAAGCTAGGCTGGCTGGGGCAGAGCTGCCCCTCCCTGCATGAGGGTCAGCCTGGGACAGAGCCTAGATCAGAGGCCGCCTGTGGGGCTGGGAAGTGGCTCAGATGCCTGGGGCATTGCTAATTTGGGACAATGCCCACAGACGTGGGAGAAGGGCCTTGAAGTGAATGTATGGGGTTTTTCTTTCTGCCACTTGCGTAGGGATGGGGGAGTCTTCTCTCCTGGGCCAGGTAGGTGGTGGGCGGAGATGGACAAGAAGCAAGGTTTCTTGACCACATGGGGGACTGTACAGGCAGATGGAGAGAACCAAGAGCAGACACAGGCCAGGGGCAGGAAGTAAGGGGACCCTTACCCTGCAGCCTCCTCCTTCCCCAGCCTTCTAGCCCTTCATCACCACCCCTTTGCTCCTGTGCACCCCTCAGCCTCCTGAGCTGCCTGTCCTCTCAGCACACTGAGGGCTTCATTTCCCCTCCAGAGAGGAGTTGGCTTTGCAGGCCTAGCTGGATGGTGTGATGATGGGCTGGTGGTGGATGCCAGGAAATAGTAGGAAGGTGTCCTAGGGAGCTGCGCTGTGGCACCCAGTGAAGGGTTCTCTGAGGTCTTAGGCTGGCCAGCTCTAGAGTTCTCAGACAAAAAAGAGAGAAAGGGAGACCCTAGGCTGTGGGCTGTGACAAAGACCACAACCACTGGTGCTCCTCTAGTTCCTGGATGAGAAGCAGACCACAGCTGCAAGCCTCTGCCAGCAGAGCCAGTACTGGTCGTGTTCCTTCCCTCCAGAGGGGCAGCCTCAGTGAGCTGACCACACACCAAGGGACACAGGGCCTTTCCAGGATGGATGGGCTCTGGACATCCCAGTAGTCCTGTACCCACAGGTTGTAATAAGACTTTGGGGTTAAGTGAGAAATGCATGTGGATCAAGTTCTCATGGTGGCTGCACTGGTACCTGGAGTCTGGTCTGTGCTAACTCCCCTGTTACTGAGCCTATCACTGGTGGATGCAGTGAATCAAGAGGTTATGATCTAGGCTTCGGGAGCTGCCCACCTTGCCACCACAACTTCAAACCTCACAAGCTTAGTACATGCTCATGTCTTGATCACAGAAAGTCTAATTGCAGCCGAGGCAGGGTGTGTGGTAGGAGGTTTGCTTAGGGCAGTCTATTACTAGAAGCTCCAAGTAGACTCTTG